TTACAATGAATTCACTATTTATAATAATTCAGATGATTAGCACGACTACCAATTACACCAGATCTGCTAAATTACTTTAAATGGCTCAGATTCTACTAATCTAACTTATTAATAAGATTCTACTCTATAGAAACCCTCATTAACAATGGCAACACAAAGACAAGCATCTCTCATCTCTGCTCTTACAGGACCATATTCTTTTAGAACATAAATGGGAAGAAGCACAAGTTACTCATTCTAATGTGAAGTATTTATTTACAACAAGTTACACTATCAAACCCTAAACAGTCCAGCCCAGATATGAGTCATCCAAATATACTAAGTCTTCTGTAAACAGAAACAAGACATCATCATGTTCAAGTTAAACCAGTTCAAATTTCTGTGAGAAAACCAGGGTTGGTGAAACTTTGGAAGGGTGGTCCCTTGGAGAAACAAACCAAAGGCTATGTTAATTGAAGTAGCTTCCCCACTATAATAAAAGATAAGTAACTCAATTTCCTAGCCCCAATCTTCGGCGAATTCTTCAAAAACAAGGAATGAACGAGTTAGGACTCCGGGAAAGCAAAGAGTTAATCCTGTTTCTAACCCTGACATTTCAGACCAGTGCCAATTAAACTGCAACAGGGACAAGTGCTGCACACTATTACTCCAACTTGCTATTACTCCTGCTTGTATGACAGCTCGTTTGTCTCAATGAGTCTGCACTTGCCTTCAAATTATCTATGGGAAGATAGAAGACACCTACCACATGGCCTACCCACTGCCATTCTATCACCCCCGCCTACCCTGTGCCAATTCCTGCTCTTATCTTTAAAAGCAACCTTCTTGAATCTTCCTGCCAGTTTAATGAGCCAAGACTTGGCACAGCTACCCTCAAGCCTTGCTCTGCTCTAATAAACACTAGCATTTAGGCTACCAATGTCTGCCAGTTTGGATCTGCAGGAACATCACTGTTGCTTGAAGCTAAAAGACTGAAACTTTAATGCCCACAGGGTATCGGCATCTTATACAAAAATAAATGCCCTAAGAAAGCAGTGATTTCACTGCCAAGCAAATTCAATCCAAGAACAGAAGCTGTGGGTAAACACTTTGCCCAACAGAATAAAGAGAAACAGGGGGCATCCATTCTATGCAAAGCTACAGAAAGACTGATACGGAATACTAGTGACTAAAACAGAGCAACTCAGCCTTAGTTAAACACAAAAGCTGAATCAAACTTTACATTTGGAATATGAAAAACGTGGTTGCTAAAGAAACTAATAATTTACCGAGCTTGTGCAGAACGACTGGCTCCATGCCGCAAAGCATTGATTAAAGAATTAACTACACACAGAAACAATAAAATCTCTGTGAGAGAGTAAAAAGTGCCTGGCAAGTATTACAAGTAAGGTTGCATGAAGAACAGTTGTCAGGGGTGTGGGCAGTTTTACCTCAAAAATGATGTTTTATGGTCATCTTCCAAAGCCTGTTTCTGGCTGTATCCTCTCTAACTTCACCAGAAAAGCACAATCCATTGCTTTGATTGAAACCCTCAGGACTGCAAAGCACAACCTCAATCCCATGGGCAGCCAAGCTCATTTAGCATTTAATATAGCCAAATGCAACTTTACCCATGCAGGAATAAAGGGCATAATTCATACTTAATATAGGCACTTAATTTCTGTGTCCTGGAAAACACCAAACCTCAGAATTTATTTGGGATTATGGTGGATAACAAAGAGGACGAGCTTCCACTACAGTGCTGTGGCCAAGAGGTTTGGCAGGAAATATGACGGCATTCAGGGGCAATAGAGAAGTAACACTATGCTGCCTAAACTAGAGGTAAAACGACTATCACACTGGGTGCATGCACTGCACAAATGTGGAGAAAAATTAGTATTTAGAAGTTACAGAGGTGAAAAACAATCAAAAGCTTGAGAAACCTGCTTTCTAGGACGAGACTCTCTTCACCTTGCTACATGATGTTAGGCACAGATGGGCCTGTAAATCTACTCGTAAGTCTCTAAAAGGCAGTTCTTACAATTTCATATAAATTCACAGAGTCATAGTAACAATTAGTATCATCAGTAAATGTCTACTGCAAAAGCCAGAATGGAGCTAGGTATGAACTGTACTTTCTCTCAAAAATTTGATGGGAAAATTACCAGCATAAAAATCTTCAGTTATTCCTATAAATATAAAAGAATTAAATAACAGCCCCTTCAAACTCCAAGAATTTAAGGTTCCTTTTCCCAGGAAGTACTACCTTTTCTTACATGAAAGCTAGAAGGTTCCTGATGAAAACAGAAATAAGATACTGGGCTTATTTCATTAAAGCAAATGCTTTCTCTCTTCCTATTCTTGTCTACTTCACTACATAACCAACCATCTGGTTGGACCAGATGATCTTTCAAGGTCCCTTCCAAGCTGGGCTCTTCATTGAGTCTATGATTCTATAACTTGGAAACCCCATGTTTAGTATTGGATCGCATGTTGTTGCCCGAGACGCAATCTGCTCACATATTCAGTTTCTTCCTGCTAAAGGGTTGTAATCATTGAGATTTGATAGCATCACAGTGTTCTATCATCATGCAAACCAGGGAGAGAGGGGGAAGTCAAAAGCCGCTGGCTTATGTTGATTTTAAGTAGAGGTTAATCGAGGACATACCAACTAGTTGTGGAACCAGATTCCTAAATCCATAGAAGTTTTGCAGGTAACTGTGAGCATGAGCTGTTTGACATGAAGCAGCCTTGCCTAGCCAGCTAGGACAGGCTGCAGCTTTAAAGAGCTCAGGTGTTTGCTGCCAGGAGAGCATAAAGGCAGGAAAAGTTTAAATGACAGCAAGCTCTGCCTCAGCTGAAGTGGGATGGGACTTGGAACAGTGTGAAGCAATCCTAACACAGGGAGGAAAGCGGCAGGTGGCAGGTCTCACACCACCCCATGGTTCTGCTCCTGAAAGAGTGCTCATCCCTGACACTGGCGAGCAGAGGACAAGGAAGGGGCTCAGAAGCGTACCTGCCTTTTCTATGGCCTGGAAAATAATCAAACGAGAAGGCAAGTGGCCTTTTTCCTCCAGGTGTAACAGGAGGGACCGGGCAATTTGGACTCCACCAGAATACCTTTCAGTTAAGGATCAAAGACAGCAAATTATGGCATAACCATGGCATCACCACCAAAAATCAGTTGGTTTTAAGGCAACCTACCAGTGCCAGCAGAAGCACCATTTTTAAGTAAAATGCATCAGCAGTTCTAAAATTATATCCCTCAATCTGTCTCACAGACCTCCTGTTCAAGATTTAGAAGACTGCATGAGATCCACATTCAGAATTTTCTTCAGTTTTAACTATACCCACAGGGAGCAGAGGAGTTTTCAGAGGGGCCTGTGATACTATACTGAAGCCGACAGTTGTGCAGATAAAACGGTAATGATGATCCTTTGTGACTTGAAACATAAAACTGAATCCTGCCAAGAACTTTTAAGATAATTATTGTTGCCGTGATCAGAGCGGAGGCAAATATGCCAAAACATCTAGAAGAGTTGCATACCAGAAAATACTTTTCAAATGCCCAACCAGAGTGGTTTGAGTATTTTAGCAAGAAACCATAAAAAGATTATTTTCGTTCCTGTCAGGACTCCAAGACTACACAGCAACTCTTAAGCACCCCCACAACAGGACTTTTGTTCTGCACGAGGCATTAGAGGAGATGCCTCAAGGAATTATGAGCAGACCACTCGTTTGGCTATCTTGACATTCATGGTTGAATTCCTCTCAGTTTTAGCTTGCCCCAAGTCCTGCAGGGAAACTAGTGATATTTAGAACAAGGACAGAGAAAAGCAGGGAATCTGACTGAAATGGTGGGACTGCCACTGGAACCACAAAGCCTACACTGCTTTGCAGGAAGCACGGATGGAACACCAGCGATCTTACATAATGTTAAAGAACTAAGACCTCATCAAGAGCAGCCTTATGCAGGTATGCAACATACAGACATCCTGCCTAGTGCAAAGACTTCAAACCCTATTAAATAAATACCCACAGCCACTTGCTTTGGATTCTGGAGTAAAGCTCTTCATCCCAGCGATGGAAGACATATGGAATACATTAGCATCAGAAGTTAAAAAATTCCAACTCGCTGTGGGACATAAAAGTGCTCAGGGAAAAAAACAAAAAAACAAACAAAAAACCAAAACCCTTTCTGCAGCTATATGGCTGATTAAGTTGCAAGTACTTATTATTCCCCCCCCATTTGAAGAGTACAGCCAATAAAGTCTGCCTCTAAAGAATGACTTAAGACATTACCAAAATAAGAGAGGCTAAAAGTGTTGACATAAGAAACACATTCACTTCTGTGCAGTGGGTCTTATTTTTATTGCTAATATTGGTCTGATGGAATGAAAACTAAAAATTCTCCTAGACCTGCATGGTGCAGCCAGCCCAGCCAGCTGGAGAGACTGCCCACCCAGAACCATCTCAGATATTCACCAGCCCTAGGAGAGGCTTAAGTTATTCACTAGGAATAAAGTCTAAGTTCGAGGCTTTTCAGAAGTGACTGAATGACTCCGAGTGCCTAATTTAGGGACATCCTTTTCCTGATGCAGCTGGGCCAGCTACAGAGGTAGTCATCCCCATCTGCATGCTGCTGGGCCCCTGGCCTGAGGCCAGCGTCACATCAAGCCTACTGCATCAGCTGCTCCTCCTAAGTTGTCCCCAAGCCCTTTCAGACAAAACAGGCTGCTTTAATGTCTTGTGTCTCTTTGACTTAGAGGCCTTAGGGACAGCTCATGGTGAGTAGTTCAGCATGGAGAACAGAGAAATGGCACACAGAGGGGGCCAGAGCTGTAACACAGTGGCCGCTGCTGAAGAGGATATGTAATTAAACCCACCCACAGCTTTCAGCAAGTCATTTCAGACACACATTATTTCACACACCAACATTCTGTGAACACAAAGTCTTGTACGCACAGGAGAAAAAGAAAACCCCCAAACCACCAGTCAGTTTTGAAGACTTTGCTCCGAATCCACTGTGGAAAGCTAGAATATTTCCTAGATGTCCAGGTGAAATCAGCAGGGTGGGTGGCAGCCTCCCAGTTCACAACTGGAGCCCTGTCTCCACCATCCTTCTGAAACTGAAATCAGGAACACCTCACACTCCCTTCACCTGCAAAACTGCAAACTGAAGCTCAGCATTGCTCTTGTCTGAATGCAAGTGCAAAGAGGCCTCAATTAGCCAAAATGCTGAAAGCCCTTGAAGGTCTTTGCCCACCCTTCAGGAAACTGCCACAATAGCTGTTGCTGAACCTTTACTGACAGATCATTCTGCAGATATCTACTTTTGCCCAAACCCTTTCATTCAATACAGATGAAGCTACTGCCCACGATGTTTTTGAAGCTTCTCAGTCATTTAAGGCTGCTTCTCTTTGCATTCTTGTCAAACCAAGGACAGCGGCGATGACCTCAAGGCAAGGCTCAGCGCAACGAGATGTATAAAAATAAAGCATCACATTGGATTAATAAAAAAGGAAAAAGGTGGTAAAGGAAGCAAAAAAGCACCAGTAGAAAGTGTGAAGCTATTCTACTGCTCTCATTTTTATTTTAAACTTCTGAAGAAAGCCTACTTACAGTTACGTGCTTATTAGAAGTATTTTTACATGTGAAGACATTTTGCTGCACTCTGTATTAATATGGAGGCTGGAGAAAACTCTGAAGTAGTTAAGTTTCTTTCAGGAATTAGCAGTTCAAGCTCTACTACTTGAAGGCTGTTACCTTTCACCCGAGAAACAAAAGTAGACCACAAATTTTGGATTTTACTGAACAGTGTTGTCTTTTTCTTAAAAGAAACATTCACTATAAAACAGAAGAAAAACAAGCTTTTAGCCTTTGTGAAACATATTCCTACTTTATATTCTTAAAGACAAGCATTATCGCTATATGATGTGATACAATAAAACATAGTTACTAGTTTTATAGCAACAATCCTGCCTTCCACTTATATTAAATCCTCACTGGAGGAAAGGTCTGTATGAATTTCATAATGCAGCAAACATCCCTCTTTTTTGCCCCATTGAGACAGAGTTCAATGTTTGTTCACTTGATCATTCCATGTGTCTTCACATGGTGAAGTTCTCACAAAACTCACCACCTTCACACAGGAACCCTAAACCCATGGTATCAACACTTAAAAAGACACAGTAGGCAAAAATTAACAAAAATTACTTTATTTAAAATGCTTTTCTGTCAAGCGTCACATATTTACCAGCGGAAAACAGCTGCAACAGCTTTACTGTCAAAATCTAAATATCAACCAGCGTAAACCG